CCGGCCCGTGCTGGCCGCGGGCGCGCTGGTGGTGGCGGCTCGCCGCCTTCGGGCCGCCGCCGTCGCCGCGACTGTGCGTGTTGCGCCGTGCGCGCGCGGCGACCGCCGGCCGCCGCGCCCCAGCCCCGAGAAATCGAGCTCAACCACCACGGCGCTGCATGGGGCGGCGGCGCAGGGGGGCGGCGGCACGCCGCGGGCCGCGTGGCAGCGGCGGTGGGGCGGCGGCGCCGGCCCCGGCGCGGGCCGGCCCCGGGCGGGGCCCCGGGCCAGGCCACCGCCGGCTGCCAACGGCGAGCTGGCTGGGCTCGCCCGCGGTCGCAGCAGCACGGGCCGCGTACCGGAGGCCTGCCCAGCGCGGACGCGACAGTGCGCAGCGGGCGGGCGGTCCGGCGGCGCGGCGCGCGGGGCGGCGCGCGCCGCACGCTGCCCCACGGCCTCGTCGGGCGGCCGCCGCAGCACCGCCAGCGTGACGCGCGCCTCCACGCGCCCGGCCTTGTTCTCCGCGCGGCACACGTACTCCCCGGCGTCCTGCACGTCCGCGCTCAGAATCGTCATGTTGCTGGTGCGCGCGTCCGCTTGCAGCAGGTACAGCTTGCGGCTCACCGCCGACATGTTGGCGATGATGCGGTTGCGCTGCAGCCAGTGCACCTGCAAGCGGAAGCGGAAGCGGTGGTGGTGAGCGGGCGGTGAGGTATGCGGACGCGCCGCGCGCCGCCATCTACGCGCCTACTTGGAGTGCTATCGGGTAGAGGTCAGCGCACTTCGCGTTTCGATATAACGAACGTTACGTAGCGCTCGTTGGAAGCGGAGGGGCATGGACTAAGCACCTTCAAGATTGTTCATTTATTCATTTATTTACTTGTTCATTTACAGAAAAGTATAAATAAACACATGTTCAATAATAATTACGTGCAATAACAATTGTACACTAGTTGTAGGGGATTTAGTGAAATGGAACGAGTATTTGGCGGAAAATCGCATGACGGGATCTTTGTACGAGGGGATTTCAAAGTGCAATCAATCCTTTTTTGTTGCATAAAAAATAACTAGTTTTATAACAATTTTTTTGGATATTCATTGATTCAAATTATAAAATTCCAGTAAATAATACAGTAGGAAGTGAACAAGTAGTATTAAAAACGAACGGTATATATATATATATATATATATATATATATATATATATATATATATATATATGTATATATCATTGCTATCATTACCTTCGGTTTTGTGGAAAGTAAGAAATACAAATCGTAAAGAATAATGAAAAATGCTATATTGAATATAATTACAAGATGTAATGACGTTGACGTTTTGCCTTAGGCAGAGAAAATCCAGACTTCGAAAGTCAATGGCAGAAGTAAGTTCGCTCTTAGCTTACATTTTTGTAATTTGCTAAATTTGGTAAAAATCTTCAATATCAATTGCTTTTAATAAAATTAATTTCATCAGTCGCCACGTTGTACTCACGTGAACTGCAAATAATTCTGAGCGATAGCACCCAAATATTCATGTAGATGTATTCGCCTACTGCTGCATTTCGTATGTACACGATTGTTGGAAAAATAGTGGTACAAATTTAGAGTCAGTACAAGGGAGGCACGTCAATTAGAAGTGGTAAAATAATCAACAAATATTCAATAATGTGTTTGTACGTTAAATAATTAATATTTTATTATTTGAAAGTCATTTTTACTTCTTTAGTTTTATTTCTATTTCAGAGAGACTAATAAAATTATCAAATTGAAAATAAAACAGAGGTAAATAGGTTTACAAGTCGTATCTATCAGTTTTTACAAGTTTCACAGAACATATTTCACGAGTACTTCCTTGTGTACTACCATTTCTCCACAATTTATTTTCATACTGTTAAAAAATCCTTACGATTGTACGCAGTTTCAAACATTAAACTTTTAGATACTACATCTACAAGAGGTTTTTGAATTTTTTGTTTAAATACGTAAGTAATTTTATTATTTCTACGTAAGGGTAAGGGTAAGAAAAAATGTAAAGAAGAAAAATGATTCACATACAACTTAAGATTGTCGGCAAAGCGTTGCCAATTCTTGATGTCATTTTCCTTCGCATACTTGTCAGTGCCCATTCTCAAACACAAGTGAATGGGCGACCATGACAAGCACAATTGCACCTAATCAATCCATCAGAAACTGAAGTTTAGTTATGTAAATAACTACGTATATTTGAATTTAATAATTAACTACTTATCAAAATTGAAATTACTTCAAGAGCAAACTACAATATGAGCATGCACTACTTCCAAACACAAGATATTTCTACGAGTGATATATTTATACTACTATCGAACGACTGAATTTTAAAATTTCAGTGCTACAGAATTATTTGAAAAAGCCATAGGAATATCAGTTGATAAAGGATATTTATGAACGTTTTGTAAAATAAAAATATTTTTCTTTTAAACTTTTACTATATGAATTAATACGAACACATTGGAGCTGGTTGAAAGATGCATTTCTGATGCCCACAGTCAGGTTTGAAGACACGATGCACTTCTAAGATAACAGTTTCCATAATTAAGATATGATAATCTGTTAATTAATTGATAATAATAAAAAATATTTTTATGAATTATCATGCAAATGTTTTACTATTATTTACAAAAGTGTCGCAGAGAAAATTTTACGACATATAATGATGTCTAACTTCTTCGCGTTTCACACGCATGTTAAAATAGATAATTCTGTTATCCAATGTGTCTTAAACATTATATAATATGATATTTCAAAGATCGTACAGTATTTTACGAATAAATTATTTTGCACATTTTTTTCTATATTTATTTGCTAAACACTGAATATAAGGCCATTTTAGAAATAAAACTTAGGAAGAAACTTATTGAATTAATTCATTTCATGGTTTAGACACATAATTTATGTAGCACCTACAATGCAGATCGATATAGAATGGAACCCGATGTGGCTAAAGGATGCATAATAAAATATCAATGGCTAGCTTGTATATTGTGTTTTATCATTCAATGAGGAATACTGCGAAAAAGTTATATATTACTTTTATATATGTTATGAGCGTTTGCTAAAAACCAATATAACAATATTTAAAAACGATTAAAGTAATATTTGAAGTGGATTAATTAAAAAAACTGATTGACCGCAAAGAATCTACTACTAAACCAGCACTCTTGACATCGTTAAGCGTGATCTGATCTGTTTAAACGAAAAAGTCGAAATCAGCGGTTCCAGGAAAGTCAGTATGTGAATTGAAAGTGGCAATTGAAATGTTCATTTTCCAGCACGATAGAAACACATCACAGTGAGGACAGTGAGTCTAACACCTAATCCCGAAGGCTTTTTAGATATACAAGAAGCATTTTTTCCAGGAAATTAGGATAGTATATTAAAAACGGTGTCAATGCTAGTCCATTGTCTCTGTATACAAAATAAATGCCTGACAGAATTGTTCACTTAACCGGAGAAGATGCAAAACAATCGCTTCGGGGAATCTGACAATTTAAGAAAGACGTTTAAGTAAGGAAAACAAAACAAAGAATTCCTAAAACGTGTAATACAACAACATAGAGATAATAAAAGAGTGCTTTGAAATGGTTTTATCATTTTTCAATACACAGCAAGGATATCAACTTTGGCGAAATCCGCACATCTTTAGTGCAAAAACATGTAAACGTATTTCGTTATTTGAGTAGGATGCCATTGTTTTTCAACATATAAACACATTCACCTCAATAAATGCATTCACTTTATTTGTTTGAATATTAATAAAATATTCAAAGTCTCCAATTAACCACAGTTCATACATTCAACAAGACATTTGAAGTAGCAGTAGTTGCTTTATGAAGAAACGTGTAAAAAATGTGCAAAAGAGAACAAAATTTGCATTGACCTTTTCCGCGAATGCAGCGTTTTTGAAAGTAAATACTCAATCAAAAATCCAAAAATTAAAACGGGACATTTTAAAGAAACATTAAAAAAACAGAAGTGAGGGTCTGTGTTCCTCAACGCGAATCCACCGTGGGAAATCTAGCACTAAATGGTTGAACAAGCGGAAGCACGATCCTAGAGCTGTTAAATAAAGAAAACGCCCAGCACGCGGGCCTTCGCCCTCCACTATCACCATGCCACGACTTCACCTCAGCATTCACATTATCAAAATGCCACGAATGCACCACCCGACGGCAGTGCAACGTTTCTTAGCATTTGCGTTTCTTCGCTCACACATACTAGAGGGAAACTATCCGAATGGTTAAACACATTTTAAACAGATTGTAACTAAACCTTCCAAGGCTCCATGATATATAATATATATATATATATTATATATATATATATATATATATATATATATATATAAAAGCTATTGTTTCTTTCTTAAATATCAATTCTCTGGGGGAAAATCTATTACTTAATGTCTGTAGGACTTGACTAGAAAAAGCGATATCTAACAGTTACTAAAGAATTCCGACAAACGACTCGTTTAATATTACACACTCAATTCCCGTGGACATTGGTGTAGAGAGTCATTACTTTTAAATACAGAGTAAATGCCTTATACGAGGAAAATGTAGCTGTAAATGGTTGAAGGCCGCTAACTTGGGCAAGCGCGATCTCAATTTCTAAATAGAGATCGATGTATTGAAAGCGTCATTCGAGATGGGAGTTCCTGCTTTTGCAGATCAAAACAAATGGCTTCTCGGTGGGGAATCTAGCACTTAATGGCCCAAGGCCGCTTGTTGGGGCTAGCGCGAGCGCGATCCCGCTGCTTTTAAATAAAGAAGACGGGCGCGCCCTCCGAACGGGCGGGCAAGTGCGGGTGGGATCGCTCACAAATTCACAGCGCTCTTTCCGCCAGCCGCGAATCGTCTGCGCCAACGCAATGCAAAGTCCCGTTAGCGTTCGCGTTGCCTGTTCACACATGGAGGCCGCTAGCAATCGCCGTTCGTTTGGAATTCGTTCGCCCCACTGTGTGCCCCGCGTTTGCAGCCGCTCCAGGCCACGCTCTCAGCGTTAACGTTCCAAATAAAGTTTGAAAAACAGTAAGAAGAGTTTGATCGCGCGCTTCTGCCCCGCGTAGAGCGAGAGGATATGTTTTGTGAAGCTAAAAAAAGAAAAGAAAAAAGTAAATAGCGCTCACTTCATCTGTGTCAATGAACAGAACAGGCTCCGATGCGTTTGAAGCGGAACTTTTAAACTGGTGAATGTATTTACTGGTTCCTTTTAACACCTTATTCTATCACACTTTTTCATCGTTTGTTTCCGCGTTACGGGGCGCCTAATGACTATGAGGATACGCAATTGCTACGCTTCTCCTATACAAGTAGCTAGTTCAAACTATCCAGGTGGATTATACATGCTAATTAGTTAGAAGCTGATTTCGTGACCTCTTTTCATTTCCCCGGTATAGCAATACTGGTTCGTGAGGGACAACAAAGATACGTTGAGTTAAAAAGCTCACGCGATGGAACGTGCAGATCTCGAACGTGTGGAATGAATGGATTGCAGACGTGTAGAAAAATTTCCTCGCTCAAGTATTTAATAGGATCTAGTGGAATGTACTTGAATATTTTGAATTTATTATCTTGATATTAACGATCATCCTTAACATTTTTATATAAGATAAATTAATACACACCATTAAATTAAATTTATATATTGTGTTAATATGTTGCAAGACGAATTTAATCATATTATTTTAGTGTATAGCACACATATGTGCAGTTATTTAAGAAATGGTATATGATATGTAGTTAAGCATATTGCATTATTTCTTGTGGTATCAGAAATTAATGATGCTTTTATGTTCGTGAAGATTGTAAATAATATTTGGTTTTTGAAATATGATAACTGAGGGCATTACTCAAGATTCATGCGATAATGAAGTTAAGAAATTGCTTCACGTACAAGGAAATGTTATGATTTTAAGTTTCAAACACAACTGTGCGAATGTTATAGAAGCGTATAACTATATATCAGAAATAAAAATACCAATTTTAACATTTTTCCCCTGAGTTAATGGAAATAAATATGTAATAATAATTGAAAAATATTTTGCGAACAATGCCACTTAACACGCTCTGTGAACGTTTGCAAAACGTGAATCACTGCAATTCGCGTTTTCCTTATACCACAGCTTTTTAACATCACGTCGGTTATCATTTAACAGCACCTATTTGTGTTTTACTCGGTGTGTCGTAGTGGAACATCCAGCAGGAAGATTGCTAAATCACCATTTTCGACGAGCCCCGAAACAGTACTTTCCCTTTTGCGTTATGATCCCTGACGTATTGCGGAAAGGGCTGTGAAATGATGAGCGTCAATATAAGGAACTACAAGCTTTTAATGGTATCATTTTCAAACAGATTGGGACAAATTCAGAAAAAGAGTGGCACCAGAACTAGGACAGACGGTATACAGTTAAGGTACTTAAAATCTTGAATTTTTAAAACTACATTTCTTTATCTTACTTTGAAGAATTTTTTTTTGCAAATTTTTAAATAAGACTGTAAGAAAGTTGCACTGCACACCTTTTTTCATTGAAAAAATTACGAAGTGGAGTATTCCAGCACCTTGTTTTCGTAACTATCTGACAGCCTGTTGTGTTTGGAAACAAATTTCTACTGACATTATAAATACGCGCTGTGACCGTTGTGCACCATCGCTCCCGGCGGAGCGGCGCGTGCGATGCGACGGGGGCGCGGGCGCGGGGTACTCACCTGGGGCTCGGGCTCGCCGCCCACCTCGCAGCTGAGCGTGACGTTGCGGCCCTCGACGCCCGTGGCGGAGGCGGCCGGCGCGGCGATGCGCGGCGCGCACGCGAACTCCTCCAGCTCCAGCTTGTCCCACGCCTTGCCGGCCAGGCGCCTGGGGCTGTCGCACATGGGCGAGATGCCGAACGGGATGTTCTGGCGCAGCATCCAGCGCCGCAGCGGCAGCAGCGCGCACGAGCAGTTCCACGGGTTGCCCCACAGCTCCAGGCCGTGCAGGTTGGTGAGCGGCGTCACCGACGAGGCGCGCACGTTCACCAGCCGGTTGTTGTCCAGGTGCAACCACTCCAGCGAGCGGTCCAGGCCCGCGAGGGCGCGCGGCTCCAGCGTGCCCAGCATGCACGACGACAGCTCCAGCCGCACCAGCTGCGGCACGGCCACGAACGCGTGGTCCTTGATGCGGCTGGATGGGGTGTTGTTGAGCTTGAGCATCGCGCACTCCGAGATGGAGTCGAGAACAGCGTCGGGAAGGGATCGCGGGGAGCTGGGTATGTAAGCTCAGGTCCAGGCTCACCAGGTTCTTGGTAGAGTTTCCTTAAACGCGATATCGTCCAACTGCATTGCAGTCCACACCGCACCAAGTACTCTTCTGCAGGTCTTATCCACAGGCCGGCCTTCGTAAGAAGGTCTAGCTTGAGAGAAGGGATGCGTTGCCCGGTGACGTCAAGCACTGCGTGCTGGCGTCGACGCGAGCGCGGGATTGCGCTGAGTTGGACGTTGACGCAGATCACCGCTCCTTGCCGCTCTTCCACTTTGCAGTCGCACGCCGGCGGGCAGCCGGGCCAGCCGCGCAGCACCACGCCAGCAGCAGCATGGCGCTGGCGCAGTCAGCGGGGCCGGGCGGCGGCGGCGGCGCGGGGGCGGCGGGCGCGGCGGCGGCGGCGACGACGGCCGCCCTTTCCGCCGCCAGGGCCGCCGGTGGGGCCACATGGTGCGTGCGCGCGCGGACCCTGCGGCAGAGAACGCTTTCAGACGCCACGGCTACATACAACAGAACACAGGAACAGAAGAGTTAGACTAAGAAGGCACCACTTCGACTGGTCGGGAAACAAATGAACGTCATTTAGAGCGATGAAATTGCAAGAGATACTGATGAAGCCATTTACAAATGAACTAACTGTAAACGAACGCATCGACAAAATGAGTGCATGAACGTAACTTACAGTTATATTGCCAGCAGTGGCCACGCAGTAGCTGCCAATACGGTCCCTTCTTATAGTAACTTCTCTAGAAGGGAGTTTAATCATGGCATAGCGAACAGCGATTACCAGGGTAGATTTGCACGGTTAAGCATGGTGCAAAGATATGGGCAAGCAATTCCGCATCGTACTCTCATTCAGCCAATGAGCATTAGGCACTAATTTACCTCACTGAATTTGCGAGAATTTAAACGCAATCAGACACCAAATTATCAGCTTTTTATAAGTCATTGAAACAGATATATGAAGCCTTTTTCATTTCAATAACACCTTCATCGTCGCATTTTCCGTGTAAAATTGTCACTTTATGCCACTTTCAAAATGTTTCTCAATACTTTTCGCTTTCCAAGCAACACGGTATTTACAATCTGGTCTGGTTTTTAAAACGAAGATCCCGTTCTGTGGTCACGTGGTGACGTAAACTGGTGCTACATAGAACGAGCAAAAGCCGGTGCATCGGTTTAACTCACCAATGTATTTTTACCATGCGGTCAAGTGTTACACAAATCGACAGCGCATTCGATCTTCTGCACACGCGCAGTTCGAGTTTTGCTTGGGTTTTACACATCTACAGAAGATCGAGATTGTAGTAAATTGCTATAGGCTATGTCTAGCTAAGACTCCCAAGAACAAAGTCCGTTATTTTAGATATAGAACGTGTTTTGTTCAGTATTTTTAGCAGTATATAGTTGTTATAAGACATCCGTAAAATTAAGAAATACTTTTTCCTTGAATAGGAACGCACGTACCAGAAGGAAAGAAAAATCTAATTGACTCTCCCATTATTTTCAACATGCAAATTTCTAAAATTTGTGCTATTATTTGAAACATTCATTTTCATTTTGTGAGAAGAGAAATTAAAAATATTACGTGAGAACAGGTCTCATGGAGACTTTTTTTCAGTCAGACGAATGGATAAATAATAATATTGCATTTTTTCTGAAGCTATTACAAGCCAATTGAAACGTGGGACGTAAATCCACGTACTGCCGGGATAAATAAGAGATCATAAGAAAACTATCAAATCAGAAAGAACAATATGAGATCGAAGATGAAGACATGCGCGCGGAGATGGTGTAACGGTTAGCGTATCGGACTGGTGTGGATTTTTAAGGGCGAAAAAAAACCTTCGTACGCCTTCCTTCGGAGGGGAAATGAAGCCGGCTGTCCCATGTTAGTAGATTTACTTGCATGTAAAAGATGCTCAAGCCTAAGTGACGCCTCTGAGCTAAATTCAATAATCGCCTGTTTCTCGCCCAAGAAATACCTCCTTCCTCTTCGAATTGGTGAAAGGAGCATAGCGAAATTTGCGTGGTCAGACGGAAGAGCGTGCCTGATGGCCTGAGTCTCGCCATGTAAAATAAGGCTTCAATGCAAATTCAATTCAATCCATCACCTTGCATTAACAATCGGAGTAAGGGAATGCTGGGTTAAACAGTATCGCGGAAGATTGCACGCAGTTTACCAAATGGTTTTCATTTTTCAGTCGTTAATGAAGTACCTGTAACGAGGAGGCGTCACAGAATTGACGCCATTGCCTTTTTGTCCGTTATTAATTTGATGAATTAGTGTTCCAGTAAGTGGTTTAGGCAAACATTCTGTTGAAAAGTGAATGTGTGTAGTTCAGCTAGTCTTTAGGTCTCTCGAATGAAGTGTTCTCATGACAGTGCATCTTTCATGTTGGGTTACTCACCTATAAACATAAGATTGTCAGAATGACTACATACATGTACGCCTAAAATGTTTGATTATCTTATTCGAATGAATTGTTCCTAAGATTCATAACATCTCGAGTGCTTTTATGGATACAAACACACGATGTTGTGTCAATATTTGATTAGCGCACTCATAATATCGTTAGGCCACAGAAATGCTTCTATCGATACACGGGTCGAGGGTTGTTTGAAAATTCATGAAACTCTTTTTCTGAGACATAACTGAAATGTTTGAAACAATACATTTTATTATTGTGGATTTACAGAAATTGATAATTAACGTAAATTACACTAATTAAATACATTACAATCTTAATCAACACGATATAATTATAGCCCTCTAATCATCGTGAATGCTTATCCGAACGACATACTTTTCTCATAATATAATAAAATAAGTATTTATAACTTTTACATATTGCGTAATATTGATTTATAGAACAAGTGACTGAAACATTGCATCGCAACAACGTGAAGAAACAATTGATTACGTAATACAGAAGACCAAATATAAGTTACTACTTTTAAATAGTGTGCGGTGGTTGACAACCAATGCTCCGCAACAAAATTTGAAGACACTACACATTATTCCCAATTTGTTTTCTTAATGATAAATCAACAAATCCACCAACTTATTTTAAACAAGCTGGAACATGGCGGTTTAAGATGCGTATTACTTAAATCAGCTTCAATTAAGTTAAACTAACTTTAATAATTTTGTGTCAATTATACTGTTTGAAAACTTCTCTAACAATACAATAATCATTTGTAATTCTGTGCTATTAAATAGACGAATTTCATATTAAGAAAATGGAATATGAATAAATTTTGCTGAGACAAGCTCAAGATTTCCAACTGGTCTCCCAGTTCATGATGATATAGTATATGTAAGTGTAAATGTGCACATATATGAGGAAAGGCCGGGACAAGCGTGAGGAGGGAAAAATGCGCGTGGCCTGTGACCCGTTTGTTAGGGCACTGGTCCGGTATAATCCTGGTATTGATGGGGAAACAACACGGAAAACTACCGATCAGAGCAACCGGTCACAAGAACTTCAGACAATGTCAACCACTGTGTGAAGAATAGTTCCTGTGAGCGGTTGCTCTGATCGGTTGAATTCAATCCAGCAGCTGAAGGTAGTGTCGAGAATCAGTCTCGGAGCACGAACCCTAGAAGTTTCCGGACAACGATCCTGCTAAGGGAACATTGTTGCGGCTGAGTCATCGGCTGAGTTGCGGCTGAGTCATCGTTACTGTAAACAGCAAATTTCCTGTTATTTGGTTAATTTCGAGTTTATTCGACGGGCTGGATGAAAAGTTGCATGTATCTAGTAATAGGTAAAGCCTATCTCTCTGTCATGTTTGATTCCCCGTTCATGCATGAAGTAACTTATGCTCTAATTGTATGTTAAAAACTAATCTATGTGATATAAAGTAATGGGTCAAATACACATACCGCCAATAAAATTTTAACTTCCAAAAGCGATTATAAAAATGTTGTAATTGTAAACATGTTTGCCTGTTTGCCTGTAAGTGTCCTAAATCAATACTTGGCATTTTAGTTTAGGTTTGTTGTACAGTTAGTCCGGTGACAGTAGATCATATGCTGAAAGATGCTTTTTTTATTTGGATTGTAAATTATGTTTTTCCAAAAGTTGTTTAAAAACTAATAGTTTTGTCGTAATGTTTTCAGCAACCAAAAGTCTACAAATTGTTTACGTAGAAAATAGTCATCATTATGTCTCATGAATCACGTCCTAGAGAGCACAAGTTTCAAATGACATATTTACACGCACTTCTGGAGACAGAAAAATAATAAAACTCCAGATTAGCAATATATTCAGTTTCTGATGGAAGTAAATGTAACTTTTACATATTATTTTTTTTATCCAATTAATGCATTTCATTCTCGTCTATAAGAAAACTGTTGAATTGAAATTTGTAAAAGAATAAATGCAGTTTATTCGGACTTTACGAAATTATTCCTGAGGCAGAGGCTACACGTATTATTGTCTGTGCCTCGAATAATTTCTTGCAAAATTATACATGTAGCATTATAATGGTAAAGTTAATTATATTTATAAACAATTGAACTCTATCATTGACTAGTAGTTTGAGGCATGTAAGTAATGGACATACGAAGAAGAATTTTCTGACATACTCAATAAAAATGTAATTTCAGAATAATTTGTTTCTCTTTATAAAAATAAGTAACCAAAAGCAAAATGTTGTAATAGTTCGCATATACTGTACGTCTATTAAGCTTCACAACACCACAATTATCATTCAATTACTCAAGAAAAACAAAAAAGTAGTTTAACGGAATGATGCAAAACAAGAAAATACTTCATACTTTGCTGTGATTAAAGTGAAATACAATTTTTCAAGTAACCCAGACAAAATGCAGCATTTAAGTCATTATTCATTGATTTGTTTAAAATTATATTTTTTCATTACACTTGCGCACTTACAGGTTTACTAACGTAAAAGCAAGATGGACAGGACAAATTTTACTATCAAAGCAAAAAGAAGAACTTTCTAAATGAGTTTTCACGTCTTCATAATACCAACATTTAAAGAAAACATTTATCTTTCTTGTAAATGGATACTTTTACAATGTTGTATCAATAATATTCTATTAAAATTGAAGACAAGTAAGAACACTCATCACAGGATATAGACAATGCAGTTGAAGCAGGTCGTTTTTTAAAGAAAACTGCAGAAGTACTTTAACTTTATGAAACCGACTCCCACAATTCCTTAAATACCGCAGTTCTTACGGCGTAAAAGAAAACGGCCTAAATTTTTGCAACCACGTATACCTGCGCCTTTGGATAGAGGCAGTAACTTTCGCGCCACTTTTTACTCCGCATGAAAATAAAAAAGTTTGATTAAAATTCTTAAGACCTTCAGTTAGTGCATATTCTAT